TGCTGATTTAACTTGAGTGAATGCCAATCGAATCACAGCTGAATGAATGGTGGGGTCTGCTGTATTGAGCGGATGGATCATGGAGCCACTTGAGGTCAGGAGGAGGGCAGAGAGAGTGGTCAGCTTTGAGAACCTGAGTGGTAGAGTTTTAAAAAAATGTGGTGTCAAATGAGGAGATACAATTTGCCACAGAGCCAGCAGGGGGATGAAAACAGAACTCATAAATAACAAAAAATGAAATAAATGGTTTGGACCAGTCGATGGACAAGGAGCCTAGCCTTAGATTTCCAAAGAATAAAGAGAGAAAACATGTTTTCAACAAATAGCTTCATATACAGCATGAGTATTGGCCATATCTTTGAATATATATACTGTTATTGTATATGTCACGTCTATTGATTGCTTATCTTATGGTTATATCTTATCTACATTTGTATGTAGCTAGGATGTTTGATAACACATTTATTCTGGGGAAGCAGCTTGATACGAAAACAGCATGGAATTTTAAATTTGGCAGGCTTAGATTTGAACTTCAGCTGTTACAGGTCTTGGGCAAGCTGCTTATCTGACTCACCCCCTCATTTAACTGAGGTATAATTGACATAACACTGCATAAGTTTAAGGTGTACAACATCATGATTTGAGGTATGTATATATTGTGAAATATTTACCACAGTAAGTTTTATCTATCTAAACACCTATCATCTTACATAGTTACAAATTTTTCCTTGTGATAAGAACTTTTAAGATCTACTCTCTTAGCACCTTTCAAATACTAATACCACATTGATAACCATAGTTACCATGCTATATGTTAAATCCCCAGAACTTATTTATCTTATAATTGAAAGTTTGTACCTTTAGACCACCTTCGCCCATCACCCATTTCCCCACCAAGCCCCAATGAATCCCACCTTCTGGCACCCACCAATCTGTTCCCTGTTTCTATGAGGTGTTTTTTTTTTTAATTCCACATATAAGTGAGACCATATAGTATTTGTCTTTATCTATTTGACTTATTTCACTTAAGCATAATGCTCTCAAGGTCCATCCATGTTGTTGTTGTAAATGTCAGGTTCTCCTTCTTTTTATGGCTGAATAATATGCCTCTGTGTGTGTGTGTGTGTGTGTGTGTGTGTGTGTGTATCACATTTTCTTTATCCATTTATCCATCCACGGACACGTAGGTTATTTCTATTTACTAAATGTAAATAATGTTACAATGAACATGGGAATGCATATATCCTTTTGTGTTAGTGTTTTTGTTTTCTTCAAAGAAATACCCAGAAGTAGAATTGCTGGATCATACAGTAGTCGTATTTTTAATTTTTTGAGGACCCTCCACACTATTTTCCATAGTGGCTGCGCCAGTTTATATTCCCACTAACAGCCTACAAGTGTTCCTTTTTCTTCACATCCTGGCCAGCACTTGTTAACTCTTGTCTTTTTGGTAACAGCCTTTCTAACAGGTGTGAGGTGATATCTTATCTGCTTTGGATTTGCATTTCCTTGATGATTAGTGATGTTGAGCATCTTTTCATGTGCTTTTGGCTATTTGAATATCTTCTGTGGAAAAATATCTATTCAAATTCTTTGGCCATTTTTTAATTGGATTATTTGTTTTTTCGCTATTGAGTTATATCAGTTCCTTATATATTTTGGATATTAACCTTTTATCAGATATTATGAATTTCCTTATTTAGGAATAATAATCAAATATTATGAATCACTTATTAAATATGTGGTTTGCAAATATTTTCTTCCATTTCATAGGTTGCCTTTTCATTTTGTTGACCATTTCATTTGGTGTGCAGAAGCTTTCAGTTTGACTTAGTCCCACTTGTTTATTTTTGCATTTGTTGCTTGTGCTTTAGGTGTCATATCCAAAAAATCATTTTTAAGCCCAATGTCAAGGAGCGTTTTCCTGTATTTTTTTTGTTTTTTTTTTCTAGGAGTTTTATGGTTTCTGGTCTTACATTTAAGTCTTTATTCCATTTGGAGTTAATTCGTGTGAGTAGTGTAAGTTAGTGATCTAGTTTCATTTTTCTGCATGTGAATATCCAGTTTTTTTCAGCACCATTATTGAGTAGACTACCTTTTTTCCCATTGAATATTCTTGGCTCCTTGTGAACTATTAGTTGACTTTATATGCATGCGTTTATTTGAGCTCTCAAATCTCTCCCATTGCTTAGTACTACGGTATACTGTTTTGTTTAGTATCGTTTTGTAATAAAATTTGAAATCAGGAACTGGGATGATGACTCCAGCTTTGTTCGTCTTTTTCAGTATTGCTTTG